CTGGACAATGAATAGGGAGGACCAAAGAAGAGTTGATGCTTTTGAGCTGTGGTGTTGGCAAAGAGTGCTGAAAGTACCATGGAGTGCTGAAAGAACTAACAGGTCTGTCCTGGAGGAAGTGGCGCCGGAATGCTCCTTGGAAGAGAGAATGGCCAAACTGCGTCTCACATACTTTGGTCATGTTGTCAAAAGGGACTATTTCCTGGAGAAGGATGTCATGCTTGGAAGGTGGAGGGTCGACAAAAGAGGGGAAGCCCCTCAACGAGATGGATTGACATGGTGGCACTGGTGATGGGCTCAAGTATAGCAAGAATCATGGAGCAGGCTCCGGACCGGGAGGTGTTTCATTCTGCTTTGCATATGATCACTATGAGTCAGAAATGACTCAATGGCACCTAACAACAATTTATACACACACTCCAAATATGCTCCTCCTCAAGTCATTGCATTTTCACAAACCACACATCTATTTGCTTGTTCAAATAAGCTACCTGGATAACATTTGCGATACTTCCCCTCTCTTCACCTCCACATCTAATCCATTGCACATCCCGGTGAATCATCCCTGTAAAACTGAGGTCTTCAACTGGGAGTGATTGTGGCCAACAGGATATTTAGCAATGTCTTGAGATATTTTTGATTTTCACAACTTGGAAGGGGCATGGGTGCTATTTACAAAAGAAGAGATCATGGTTTGTGCTAAACACCCTACAATGAACAAGATAACCTCCCACGACAAAGAATTATCTGTCCAGAATGTCAATAGTGCTGAGGTTGAAAAATTCTAAAAAAAATGTCATGAATTTTTCCAGTTATCTGTCTCTATTTCTAGGACTCTGGTGCAAACCATGACCCTCTTTGATGTCATTTTCTTCAGTGACTTCCTAAGGATCTCTTGCCTCCTTCACTGTTCCCATTCCCACTCCCACCCCCACCCCATTCTTTTCTCCATACAGTGAGAATAATCTTTTTAAAATGTAAATCTGATCCTATTAAAACCCCACAATTACTATAACACCCGTCAATGATTTTGCCAAGGTACCTAGAATAATTGTTTAATTTTGAATCAAATCCTGGGCCCTTCCCCACCTCTCTAACTTATGTCTCATGTCACTCTCCCATCACTGAATCAAACTATCCTTTGTCCTCTTCAGTAACACAGCAGGCCCTCTGCTTCCTCAGGTCTTTCCTAGAATTATCTTCTTCCTCCTCTTTACCCCTACTCAACTTCTATACATTCACATAAAGTCACTTGGCATTAAGTCACCCCTCTAAAGTGCCATGATTCTCTCTAATAACACACTTTTCTTCTCATTTATGATGCTTCTGACTATTTATAATTTTTTGTCCATTTGTTGTTTATTCTCCAAATAGACTACAAGTGCTTTGAGGTCAAGGAGTAGGGAAGTGAGAGGATTTATAAAATGAGAAGAATTTTACAAATTTTACAGTGAGAAGAATTATAAAAATTCCAGGCAACAGTAACATGTGGTCTAAGCAGTTCAGACTATATGATGGAGGGATTAAAACAATTTTCACATATCTCCTACACAGTTTTGCCTAGGTCTTGTGCTATTTTCAGTGAATTCACAGACAAGATTTCCTAAGCATCACATGAGAGAGTAACACATATCCTTGTTCTCTTCTGACAATGGAGGTCCATATGAGACATCTCTAATGTCAGCTACATCATTCCATCTCTGTCCTAAGTAGCCTCTTCTTCACTCTACTTATCAAGTGATGGACGTATCTTTAGAGCAGTAACATTATGGTTTGTACAAGCACATAGAAACAATTATATTGCTTTCCTTTTGTAATGATTTATCATGAATTAACATTTATAGTTTTCAGAAAGTATGTTGTATGTGCTCTCATGTGTAGATAATGAGGGCAATTCTTGCAACTTTAAGGAGAGTTAGACATTTTAAAATGGGGAAGCAAACAGAAAGTAATAATCAATGTTCAGATTTACTTTTTACATCCAAAAAGCAGACACTTGAAGCCATTTCAGAAGCAACAATTTTGAGGGTCAAAGTCATTGAATTGCTAGAGTTTACATCTGTTGAGACCCAGTATCTACTTCTTCAATCTTATTTCATAATATTCTTGCCCTCAGTCACTAGGTTCATTCCACACTAATCCTATTTTTCTTCCTTAAACACCTCCAAGCCTTTGGATTTACTCTTCCCTCCAATTTCAACGCTCTGTCTGCAGATCTTTGCATACAATCTGGTGTCAGATGTCATCATCACAAGGCTTTCCTTAAACATCTCTTTGTTATAGGTTGAATTATGCCCACCCCCAAAAAAAAGGATATGTTCGAGTCCTCCAGGAATCTTTCCCTCCTGGGACTGTTAACTTTATTTGAAATACAATCCCTGTAGGTATAATTAACTAAATTAACATGAGGTCATATTGGAGTAAGGCAGTCCCTAATCCAATATGACTGGTATCCTTATAAAAACAAGGAGAGATACACAGAAAAAAAGACTACCATGTGAAGAGAGGCAGAAATTGGAGTTATACTGCCATAAGCCAATGAATGCCTGGCACTACCAGAAGCTGGAAGAGAAAAAGATCTTTCTCTAAAGTATTCAGATACAGCATGTCTCTGCCAATATACTGAATTTGACTTCTAACTTCCAGAACTATGAGAGAGTAAATTTTTGTTGGTATAAGCCACCTTGTTTGTGGTAATTTGTTATAGCAACACTAGAAAACTAATAACACTCATGCTAAAGTAAAACTCAAGTCACTCTCCATCACCTCAACTATTTTTTATGTTTAAAGAACTTACTGTTGTCTTATGCTTTGTTCATTTTCTTGTCTCCTTATTAATGAAGATAAGAAGTTCATTTATTTTGTTCACTGTAGTACTCCTTAAGTCTAGAAAAGTACTTAGCAGATACTTGATGTTCAATAAACATTTGCAGAACTATTTAATTAATAAATGTAGGAAAATACATGTGAATGGGAATTCCAAACACTTAATTGTACTCATGAGGAACCTGTACATAGACCAGGAGGCTGTCGTTTGAACAGAACAAAGGGACACTTCATGGTTTAAAACCAAGAAGGGAGTGCATCAGGGTTGTATCCTTTCACCATACTTATTCAATCTGTATGCTGAGCAAATAATCTGAGAAGCTGGATTATATGAAGAAGTACGTGGCATCAGGATTGGAGGAAGAATCATTAACAACCTGTGAAATGCTGATGACACAACTTTGCTTGCTGAAAGTGAAGATGACTTGAAGCACTTAGTGATGAAGATTGAAGAACACAGTGTGCAGTGGATTATATCTCAATATAAAGATAACAAAATTCCTCACAACTGGACCTATAAGCAGCATCACAATAAATGGAGAGAAGATTGATGTTGTCAAAAACTTCACATTGCTTGGCTCTACAAGCCACGCCAATGGAAGCAGCAGTCAGGACATCAGACAACGTATAGCACTGGGTAAGTCACCTGCAAAAGACCTCTTTCAAGTGCTGAGAAGCAAAGATGTCTCCTTGAGGACTAAGGTGC